ATATATAGTATANACTATAGTACTATAATNTATATATATATATATATATATATATATNTATGCNGTATATACATATATATATATATATANATTATATATAGTGTGTGTGTGTGATTTTGTGTATATGCATACACATATACACACATACACACACACATATACATACACACACACACACATACACACATACATACACACACACACACATATATATATATATATATATATACGAACTGTCATGCGCACGATCGAGGTAGCCAACGATGCTTACCCTCACTCCACAATCACGTGGCCCCAGTTATCTTTGTGCTACCAGTCTACCTATAATCCACATTCTCTGTCAACTATTAGTGAAGTTTTAATGCAGATTTGCTGCCGACATACTGACGGGCGTGTCCAGCAATGATTCGTATAAGAATATCCATGTATATTTCGCAAATAACAATGTCAAATTGTTCCACTCTTGCGAAACAAATCGGGTGGATGCCTTGCCTTCACGGCAACACAATCGCATTCACGTAAGTATACTCCGATGTTTATCTCCAGCGGCAAACAAAGGGTTATACCGTGTGCACCAATTCAGCAAAGTAGAGATGTTTGTTGTAAGCGAGAGTGAGGGGTCTGCGACTGTCGGCGACGGAGAAACTCAGTCGGAACTTGCGACAAAGTGCACCGAAAGCGATGAATTGTTGGAAGAAATCAGGACTATCCAGGACGAATTTTTACAGAGCCTAGGCTTACACTTCCGGTAAGGTTTGGTGTTTCAAGCGTAGCTTGAATTTTAATGAACATGTGAGGGTTTACTTACAGTGGATATACTATCTTTTTATATTACATCCGGTGAAGGTAGGTTTCAGGCACTCATCGCATTGGTGGATTCAAATGTCATTGGGTGTGCTTGTCATGTTGAGGATAAATCGGTGTAGCTGTCTATAGGCGGGCATACTGCATGCCCCTCGACACACTATCGGGAAACTGCGGCATCGGCCATCGATGCTCTAAAACGTGTCTGCTTTGCTTTAAATAACTGCTCAAGTATCGATACACCTATCGATGAGATAAAAACATTACTGAGTTTTTACGACAATTGAACTATTCTGCTGACAGCTCATTCGTACACGGTCAATTTCACATATCATTCAATTCATTATCGCCTCATTCACCAATCCGAGACAATCGCATCGGCAGCTATGGTATCAGAGTATAGGCATGTACTAACTCTATGGAAGTTTCAGATTTTTATATTCACACTTTTAGACCGGATCCCATTGTATTCGGATGTCAAACATTTGTATCTACACAAACCCGATCCTGATTTTTTTTATGCATCACTTTCCCAGCGTCTTGGATATGCCAACGGAAGAATTAGGTGCGGCGGCCTACAGGAAATACGATATGGAAGCCTACATGCCTGGACGTGCTCTATCAAGTGATGTGGTAGACGGATTGGCTTTCGGCGAGGTAAGGACCGATTCTACTTTTTAGTCGCATATCTCAGTGTTTATAGAAGGATTAGTACTTTATTCACGCCAGTCCTCAAGAATAAACTTAAAATGGACCCTTGGTTAGTTTGAGATAGAGAAATTCTTTATTGTAGTAGAATTTGGCCTACAGAGAGTAGGCGTGTGCATATTGGAAGAGTGCCCGGAATTTGGGGTTAGGGTATATGAAGTATATGGCGACACTCCTATCTTTTTCCGCGCCATGTGTATATCTCTCCAACCACCGTACATTTGTTACAGCACACTGTGCAGCTAGGCGTAACCACGCGTTGTCAAACAAGTTGATTAATAATTTTATCATCTCTCCACCTTGGGCAGGTAACGAGCGCTTCTAACTGTACGGACTTTCAAGCGAGACGGCTGAATATCAAGTACAAGACACATGACAGCAGTCCCTCACTGTTTGCGCACACACTCAACGGTACCGCGTGTGCAGTGCCACGTGTGATTATCGCACTGCTGGAAACTCATCAGAATGAAGACGGGACTGTGAATGTCCCTGAGGCCCTGCACTCGTATATGAGGGGCAAGGTTATCAGACCGCCAGAAAGGGTGTTTTGAAATAAAGACATCGGATAGTATGTGAGATTCTTTCGTTGAAATTGTTTGACGCAATGGAGTGAATAATGTGCACTAGACTGGTAGTTGGTAGCTAGAGCGATGTGATATGTGTCGGCCCCCTCGGAAACCTGTGTGGTCGTGTCACACGGTTCGCCCGAACACTCCCTTGCTTCAGGGGCTGTGCCAACGAAAGCCGCTACCTTTATCGAACATATTGTATCAGTTAGCACCATCGAAAAACAGTGGATTCTGGCTGCACCAACTGGGATCACCATTCGCTGGAAGATTACTGATGGGTACTACTTAACTGTCTCCATCAGGCGCTCAAGCCACGATATCTTACTGGGTAGATGGATGGCTGATTCCAGCGATTTGTATGCAAGATTTCTGATATAGTAACAATGTAAATGTGTGCAGAAGAGCAGCTGGGAGTGAGATTTTACAGGTCTGAACTATATCACATTGTTTTGATGGAATTTACATCTGCAACGAATCGTTCATTTGACTACTGCAAGCTTTGGTGTTCTTGTTGAATATATACTATAAATTTTCGCAGTATGCTTATAGTCAGGGTGACTAATCATATTCATAAACACAAAATGTTGTCAGCGGTGTTCAAAACTTTCCACCGATTCGAAAGCGTATATTTTTCTAGTGTAAGGCGGAAGATAATAATAATATACATCAACGAGATATAAGGGTCAGATGAAGAGGAAAACACATAGCTGAGCAACCTTCAGGTTATCTATCCTTTCTCGTCAAGTGTTTACCTCACGTACGTAAAATTCAACGAGACTACCTACTCGAGAGTGTCGCATCGCCTAGATTCGTCATTTGAATTGCATGGGAACGGGAGTGAAAGGATAAATAGACAGTATGCGTATGCTCGACCCAAAACAATTGAATTGAAAGTGGAAAATTTGAAAAGTGGAAAACTGAAATTAGCGAAACTCATAAACACAACACAGCAAATGGCAGGAACGGGAAACCACACTAGTAGAGTACATACTATTTTGCATACATACTACAAAGTACGTACTAGTACTGACTGAAACTGGGAAACTGATAAATAGAAAGCCGGAAAGCATTCCTTTTGACCTGTGCCTTTGGTGAACTGCAGTAAAAGACTAAAGAGGGAACGACAATGTTTGACTTCATCAATTGTGCAAATAATTTGATTGGAAACTGAGTGTTTACGTTGTCGGAGCGGAGGCTGACACTTATTTCATCTCCCCCCCCCCCCCCCGCCAGCCTCAAATAGTAAGGGGTGTCATAAATAAAAGTTGAACGTAAACCTATTTGTTCTTCTCGGTTTGTCAACCCTGAAAAAACCTTCTACCAACACCTCTCTTTACTAGAGAGTCAAAACTTAAAACCGTCAACAAACTTCTAACTGCTCTTAACGTTTTCAGCTTTACAAACCCCCCCCCAAAAAAAAATTGAATAAATTTCTTTGTGGACAATAGTTCAGGGCTCGGCCTGCGAGTCCTCACTGCCTATGAATGAGAGAGAAGAGTCTTTCCCGAATATAAAGACCAATTGGTATAAATACCGGTTGTCGCTTGCTCGCAATACGTAGTTTCCGCACATACTTTCCGCCTTTCAAACGTACTATAAGTAACACATTAGTAGCACATAGTACTTGATACAATGACTGTCCGACAAAACGAAGTAAGCCACGGCCTCACACCGTTCCGTCTAGAACGATACTTTGCACAGTATGAGTTCAACGAGGGAATTAAGGTGTTGTGCAACTCCGACTGTGAACCTTACAAGATGCAAGAAGTCGTACAGATGGCCCGAGATAACAACCCGAAACTCGCCGATATGTGGGACAACCTGTCTCTAGGATACACCGAGTCAGGCGGACGTCACGAGCTTGTTGCCGAAATAAAAAAGTTGTACACAACTGACCCCAATGTGGTGGTGGTGACACCTGAAGAGGGTATATATTTATCTATGCGTGCCTTATTAAACAAAGGCGATGAGATTGTGGTTGCATTCCCTAACTACCAGTCGTTGTCGGAGATTGCCGTAGCGATTGGATGTGATGTGAAGCGGTGGATGCCGGATTTTCTGCCGGATGGAAGGTGTGTTATTGGGACTATTACCCACTGCATATGCAGCATCCTGGTGATATTACAATACCTGGTTTAGTGTGTATATGTTACACTCGGAGGGAATCACTATACTTCAAAGTGTGTATTTGCACCACATATGGGAAATGACTGTACCTTTAAGTCACTCAGAAAATATCTGATACCAATAGAGTAGACTCTTTGGATGCTTGTGGGGTTCATAGTTTTACGCGCCTAGTATGAGCGAGAAACCAAGTGAGTGAGTGTATCCATTTCGTGCTCGGTTTAATCATGGACAGAATCGAGCTTGGGCTGAGTATATGCCTGCTTTCTTACACAACTGCGATGCGCACCCACTTTTAGAAAGCTTTGCTCGCGTTCATACACATGGGGACGCACCAACGATCCATTAGTTTCCATTGTGTGCACGCAAGTACTACACAACTGGCTGTACCTCGGTACCTCACTTACACCTGATGCTCTAGGTCAAGCGAAATCTTGTTCACATACGACCGATTAGTAGTCTACATATCCGTCAAACTCTGTTTAGTAGCAAATGAGTTTAGCAAATGGGTTCACCATGAATATTCTCGGATGTTGTTTCATAGTCCGACCTCGGGAATAGAGAGAGGGAGAGAGTTACGCCCAGCCATAGAAATTCCCATAATGTCCGATAGACTTCTATATTTACTATGGCCGTATGTATCCGAGTCCATGTAGTCTCTGAAGACATACGCCTTTGCATTCCATAGCAGTAGCCGCTCTAGTGTGGACACTGCACCGTGGTTGCTGTCTATTTATTCCCCCAAAACCAGCGTGCGTTTAAGTCCACGTACTTGCTGAAGGAATATCTCTCCACTCTGCATCAGTATCCGGTTCAATGTGGACGCACTCAAGGGCCTGGTGACTGAAAAGACCAAATTGATTGTGTTCAACTTTCCGCATAACCCCTCGGGCCACCTCCTCACCAAAGAAGAACAGGCGAGTGTGATAGACATTGCCAAAGAGGTCAATGCGTGGGTGTTCAGCGATGAAATGTATCGAGGCTTAGAGTTTACCCCGGAAGACCAACTACCCGCAATCTGCGACTTGGGATACGATCGGGCCGTACTGTTGTCCGGGATGTCCAAAACATACGTATGTATTCTATAACCATGTAGTTGTACATGTGTAAGACATACGTATGTACCCTATAACCATGTAGTTGCACATGTGTATGGCATACGTATGTACCCTATAGCCATTTTGTTGTACATAAGAGTGATGTGTAAGACATACGTTTGTACCCTATAACCATGTAGTTGTACATAAGTGATGTGTAAGACATACGAATGTACCCTATAACCATGTAGTTGTACATAATAATGATGTGTAAGACATTCGTATGTACCCTACAACCATGTAGTTGTACATAAGTGATGTGTAAGACATACGTATGTACCCTATAACCATGTAGTTGTACATAATAATGATGTGTAAGACATACGTATGCACCCTATAACCATGTAGTTGTGCATAGGAGTGACTTTAAGACATAAGCATATACCCTATAACCATGTAGTTGTACATAATAATGATGTGTAAGACATACGTATGCACCCTATAACCATGTAGTTGTGCATAGGAGTGACTTTAAGACATAAGCATATACCCTATAACCATGTAGTTGTACATAGGAGGGATGTCCAAGACATATGTCCGTAGCTTACAACAAAGGAGTGATGTCGACATTGTTTACATCTTCTACATCTAGTGTGAGGGGATGTCTAAGACCTACGTCTGTACCTTTATCTAGCCTACCTATGTACTCTGTACATGAGTGTGATGTCTACATCGCTCGAATTTCCTGCAACGATAGAGGGTGTCCAAGATCTACTTATGCGTAGCTCAGCGTCTGAAACCCCGTGTAAGCGTGGTCGAAGTGGATCTCCTAGTGTGTGTGTGTGTGTTTGTTGGCGTTTACCCTATACAATGATCACGTGCCAATGCCTGGGTGTACACTGCTGTGCCACACGCTCACTCGAAGGTCAAGGTTAAGCTTCCTCTCCTCTGAAGTGGACTCTGATGCACGCAGTCCCCACGTGCGCCCATCCCAGAACACTGTTATCAATTGAACACGGTCTTTTATAATTAATACACTTGCAAGCCACACCCACATCTGGGAACCTGCCGACTCTACCTAAAATCGCTGCATGCCGATCTCTGCCGTATATACCCCGGTATGAGTACCCAACACACTTATCGGCACCACACAGAAACCCTTAAACCCTACACCTATGACCACTACACAGGCTCTACCGGGTATCCGCTTGGGCTGGATAGCTACGCCCAACGCTTGGCTGGCTGCGGAAGTACTGACACTCAAGGACTACACCACTATCTGCCCCCCTGCCCCCTCAGAGGTCCTGGGGCTGATTGCCCTGACAAACGGACCAGCGATCATTGCGAGGAACCTGGATGTGATCAAGACATGTAAGTGGTGTGTTGTGAGGATGTATTGCAGACGGTGATTGTTGAGGTTATAGTGATTGTAGTTATGTGATCAAGACATGTAAGTTGTGTGCTGTAAGGATGTATTGCAGACGGTGATTGTTAAGGTCATAGTGATTGTAGTTATGTGATCAAGACAGGCAGGAGGACCCTCGTTACTGGTCTATACTATATATCGTTGGCCGATGGCGGAGATTCTTTTGCTTATACCTTTACCGTTAGAAACTTTTAAAGCTGCTCCAACCTGCCCAGACCTATTCAAATGCCCAAACCTATCCAGACCTACCGTTCAATCTGATAGTACCATGTGCCCATTACCCCACTCACAGCCCTTGCCGCGGTACAGACCTTCATGGATAACCACAAAGATATTCTCATCTGGAAAGCGCCTATGTCTGGCTCTATCGGATGGCCACTTATCCACCCCGATGCCAAGATGATGGTGGACGGGAGCCCTGTACCAGCTACTGCACGCCTGTTGTGTGATACGCTCGCGGAGAAGCACTCCATTCTGCTTTTGCCCGGCGATTTGTTTGTGTCGAGTAACTTGAGCCCGGAGACTGCGTATGTCGCGCGTGGAGTTGCTCTGGATGTTTATTTGCTGCTGGTTGTTACTTTCAGATATTGTCAGGATTGGTTTAGGATATTTATATTAGTTTGGACCGGTTGTGCACAGATATACATGTATATGTGTACATATGTGATGACACACACACACACACACATATATATATATATATATATATATATATATTATTTTGAAATAAGTTTGAATCGGTTGTGCACAGATATACATCTAGGTGTGTACATATGTGATAAGATATATATACATGTGTCTGTGTCTGTGTGTCTGTGTCTGTGTCTGTGTACGAAAAGGGTACATCAGGTACATCTAAAGATCTATATACGCATGCTATGTGCGTATGTATAGTGAAGATTGCGCAAGATAGATTTCAAGTAGAGTGCGCATGTACAGCTAACGTACTTCGTGCCATACTTTTTGGGATTGTTAGCATGCGGAAGTGTGTAGCAGGCTGTATTTTCGAGGAGGTCGAGCTGGTCTATATCGTCGAGGTTAATGAATCCTTCACTAGCTCACCTATGCGTCGCAACACCTTTTATACTTTTCATTTCTATACAGAGCTGCGTGCTCACAGCATTTCCGCTTCGGATTGGGCCGTACGGACACGGTTGAGAATATCGATTTGCTGGAGAAAGTCATTCGCAAAGTGCTCTTTGTTTAAGTTTATTATTGGCTATAAGGGTCCCAATGCTAATAAACCAATACTAAACAATCGGATAGCCTTCGTCCAAGGACAGTTGTAAATTACTTGAGATATATTGGATGCGTGTTCTGATACGTAAGTGTGTGTAAGTTGGTGTATATTTGCAAATGGATGTATATATTATATATATACATATATATATATATATATATACAATATATATATATATGTATGCATATATATATATATATATATATATTACGTTAGTATTATATATATATATATATTTATCCTATACATATATATTTATATATTGCATATATATATATATATGAATATATATATGTATATTTCAAATATATATATATATATATATATATTAAAAGATCGTGTGCAACAGTATTTAGACATGTGTACGCTAGGTTAGCGAGATAAAAGTTGTAGCTCAGTATTTCTATATACTGGTCAGAGTCATTTGTGTATGTTATAACAGATTCTTTCTGTACTACGCACGTATTGGTAACATAGAGACAATAATTCGGCGCTTCAAGTATAAAATATACAGTTGATACATGTTTTTAGTATCATTTGTTCCCAGTACCGTACTCAGAGAGAAGTTTTCATGTGACATTGCTTATTGGTTCGAGCGTGACTCACTACAATGCCAGTGGACTACGCTCTTTACATCCATTGTCCGAAGTAAGAGAAGTTTCCAGATAAGCTTCCGGAAGAGATAGTTCAAATATCAGTCTACTACCCCTATGTGGTCTGCGGTACCCTGTATTAACACTGGTCAACCGAACCGAAACAGGCTATACATTTTTATTCTACGGTTGGGAATCACCTACTTCAATGCTTCGCAGGATAGACACCTTGGCCTGATACTCCTAGCGATATATAGTACAAAGCTGATTCACCCCTTTCTAGTACGTAAAAGTATACCATACTTTATTGCTCTTCTGATCAGACACTCTGGTCTGCCCTCGCTGGTGATATCACGTGCGACGTTGGGTCGATCTTGCTTAGTTGATACGCTATACCACACCTGATTCTTCTCCTGGTTGAGCTTTACACTCTGTTATAAATACAATACAAGTGGCTCCCTGTAAGTTTGCACCAGGGCTTTAAGATCGCTACCCAAATATTGAACACAATTCCATTCCTGGACGCTTGTTGTCCCACTAACTGGCGATCTCTCAATTGTTTATACTACCTCATGTTTCGAACGCCACCCCCATCTCTTGGCGCAGTCCCGTTGCTTGGCAACGTTACCCATATCTGGTGACTCTGATACATATCCATTGATTGGCTTTGGCACATCAGTTGACATTGTATCATCGTTTGGCGTTGTACCCTGATCGGACGTGGTCTGACGTAGCGATGACTCATATACCGTTAATCATAAGTCTGTCCGGGTGTTCCCCTTGTTTGCCTGAACTGTCTATCACCGCTTCTTCGTTGTTTATAGTCAGCTCTTGATACTGATTCATTCTTGGGCCTTGTGTTGTGCCACACTTCAGCGCGGTCACATATAACGTGGTCGTTGCCTATATACTCTCCCATGACAAACCGCTGTTCCATGTCGTCACTTTTCTTTGTTGTATTCTCTCATTTGACTCTGGTCTCTGAAACGTCCCACCACATCTGTCTACTTAGCCGTTTCGTGGATGCGAGGGGCAGTGTGGGTACCAAATTGTGCGACATAGCTACTGAAGGCTTTCATATGATATGTGACAGTAGCTACATGCCCGGCAATCCGGCGATAGAACCTCTGATAACCTTCAATATAAAGATAGCAGCAACTATACATATGGGGCTAATCCGTCTAATCCATATATAGGCCTATCTGAGCCTTGACACTCTTTGTGCCTGCACAGGAGTGGTGAGTCTCGTTCTGCGCTATATAGGAGCTTTTCTTAGGGTTGTATCGCTTGTTTGGGTCTACTTATTCGGCGTTAACCCGTTGTTTGGGGTTGGTCTGTGGGGTGTTCCTTTGGGAGTGTGCATGGGAGTTGTGTGTCGGCTGGCGGATGGTCTGTACGAAGGGGAGTGCGGCTGCAGAGACATACAAGAAAAAACGTTGTGAGAAGATAACTGACAGTGTACATTCACGTATATACTAATAACTGTACCATTGTGAGACAGATTGATATAGATACCGAGCTTATTCACGTATATATATGTTTGGATTTCGACCCATCAATACTGGCATCAAATATATGTAGTATGCATAGTCGTACATATACAAATACATACATACAAGGGTATGTGCAGAAGTATACTTTAGCCTGGGTCAGGTATATCTTCGCCAAGCCAGACGTCTACCAAATATTCTTGGCTTGATATCTACACACCTTAGCCTGGGCGTGAGTGTCGAAGTACAGCTGGTACATGATCACTGGGATGCACACTATCACTGGCCCGATTAGCGCCCCCTGCAAACCCCACCGTGACAGTCCCATGACGATGCTCATGCCGGTCACATAGGCTGTATTATATGATTAGAATACGTTAGCATGATTAGTAGAGATAATAGGATTAGTATACGATTATGATGTGTGTTAGTTGTAGCATTGGTCACCTAACCTGTATTATAATATGATTAGTATACGATTGAGATACGTGTTAACTGTAACATTGGTCACCTAAGCTGTATTATAATTTGATTAGTATACGATTATGATGTGTTTTAGTTGTAACATTGGTCACCTAGGCTGTACTATAATATGATTAGTATACGATTGAGATGTGTGTTAACTGTAACATTGGTCACCAAAGCTGTATTATAATTTGATTAGTATACGATTATGATGTGTTTTAGTTGTAACATTGGTTACCTAAGCTGCATTATAATATGATTAGTATACGATTGAGATGTGTGTTAGTTGTAACATTTGTCACCTAAACTGTAATATAATATGATTAGTATACGATTGAGATACGTGTTAACTGTAACATTGGTCACCTAAGCTGTATTATAATTTGATTCGTATACGATTATGA